AAAATATAGCTTGTATCATCTCCACTTTTGTAGGTAGTTTTGAAGGAACAACTGATTATCAAAGCTTCTTTCTAGCACCGTCATTCCACATTCACCTTACTGTCTTCTAGCACTTTGGCAGGTTTTCCCAAATATTCATTCTCAAAGGATATGTAACAACACAGGCCCACTCTCCTTTGGCTTGCCAGTCTCTTATTGAGCATTACTCCTAGATATAGGAGCTCTGGTATGTGCTCCAGTGAGTCTCTGAGTTCCAAATGTAATCTTCAATCACTTGTGTAGCAGCATCACAGTGATTTCTTTGATAATAGTGTTCATCCAACAAAACCAGTACATGACTAATTCTGGCTGTTCATTCAGTAATTATAAGTTCCAGAACCAGATTGTGCTCCCAGAGCTCATTTAATGGGAAAATGACTGAAATTTCATAGAAAATACATCACCCTGTTGGAAAAGAATCCCATCTCATGAGGTGCTATCTCCCTGTCAGAACAACACTGAGTCTTCAGTAGGTCAATCTATGAAACTATCATGCCAGCTGCTTTGGGATGATGCGGCACATGGTGAGATCAGTGAACTCTGTGGGGATTAACTAGAGGGCTGTCATAATAAAATGAGTGTCTTGGTCTGAAGCAGTGATTAAGAGGATACCATGGTGATAAATAAGGTTCCTGCTGGCAGTAACACTGTAAGCAGAGAGAGCAAATACATCTCTGAAATACATAGCTTTCCCCATGAGGACAAATCACTGCCCCCTCAATTATGGAAAAGGTTGAATATAGTCCCTTGTATGGTCCCTGCTAACCAAATCCACTTAGCATGATGCCATCAATGTAATAGTCAAGTGTTATCTCTGGGCAATTCAAAATGATTAAGGTCCTGTCAGAGTACATAATGCTAGAAGGCAGAATTAGCACAGCTCTGGAATAATATTATAAAGATGTATACTTATCCTTGTTACATTAAAAAAACTATATCTGATTGATAGAAATTTTGAATTTTCTGAACCAGGGATCAACAGTTTATCTGCTAAATCTGGCCCATTGTTTTCATATGGCAGTATTTCTGTGTTCATAAGTAAAATATACTCGGTTACAGACCTAATTACTCATTTATGTACTGTCTCTGACTAGTTTCCTGCTGCAATAGCAAGGCTGGCTAGCTGTTGTAATTCTAAATGGTCTCCTCACAGCAAATATTACCCTAGTTCTGTGGTGGCTCAATGGCTGTTTAGCAGTCATAGAGATTGTCTTTTTTTCTATCCAACAAATACAAGGCACCCAAAAAAATCAACTATGATTAGTATCACTTTCATATGATAAAGTTTATTATAATTCAGTAACAATTTTATATCTTTGAAATTTTTCCCAGATAAGCAAGTTAAACATAGTATTTCCAAAACTCAGTATTCTATATTCCAGTATGAGATGATGTCATTAATCTCTGCAATTCCCAAAAAATAAACTATTGCTTCAGGTATTTATTTTAGTGCACAACACATGGTAGGAACACTTCTAAAAAATTTAAGTTATACTCTTGTGTAACAGTTTTATGCCATAGGAAAGACTATTAATGTAGGGAATCTTCCTCTTATATTCCATTCTTAGTGTATATTGAGATGTGGGAAAATAACCATATAATGCACCCCACTTCCAGTGCATCCAGCATGAGTCATACTAAAGATAAAGACACCATAATCACCTCACCTCCATCAACTTTTAACACTAATAAACTAAAGTAGTATTTAAGATACAGGCAAAAGTGTTAATTCAAAGTTAGAATTTAAAAATGCCTCTGAAGTTCTGTGCATTGTATTTCATCCGGCATATCTATCTTAGTAGAGAACCCCTGGTTTGTCCCAGTGAAATATTAGAATAAGATACACAGTGAATACATGTGGCCACAATGCAGGATCCTTTAATGGACCAGCTTCTTTAATTAAAGAGTTCCAGATCTATTAATAGGCTTAGTTGGACAATGCTGTAAAACTGCATTCTCAGTGTAGTAGCCCAAGTCAGTTCTATGTAAAACAGACAGAAATTTTAAACCTTACATACAAACTACGAGGCTATTTAAGCTATTCATTACTAGTTACTCTAAATAGAATCATAGAATATCTGCAAATTGAAACATCAAATTAGTACTCTTCTTTGTACCATATTTTGATAATTCCTCACCCCCACCATTTTGATGCTTATATGTCAACACTTGGTCTCTACCATTTCAGGTTCCCATTTTCCCTTTGAAATTAGGCAAATCAGTTTTACTGAAGCACCCCTCTGCCAGTCATTTTAGCATATACAGAAAAACCACAACAACCTCCTTTAAGGGTTGCGGTGCTTAATGACTTGATAATGAAAGGACCTCTTGGGCACTCTCCAATTATTGTTATAGGACAGCTGAGTATGAGGCACATTGTCGAATGCAACATTTTTATCTGTCAGAACTAAAATTCTTCCCCTACAATTGTCATAAAAGCTCCTGCTTCTCAACCTCTTTCACTGTAAAATCAGTTCCAGGCTTTACCAGTCTGGCAGATTGCTATTGTCATTCACAAGGTGTCTAAGGTAATACATTGAGGCACAAATCCTATGTGTGTATAGATATACCCATAAATCTGACACAAATTTATCATAGGTTTTATCTCTGTTAATTTATCACTCTTTTCCTTTACTTGCTCCCCAGACTTATGGGAAACAATTGGCAAAATGATGTAGCTTCTTCAGTGCAACTTCTTTACACTAGGTGTGGACCCTTACTTTGCACTTCCTGCTTGAGTTACACTAACGTTATATTGATGCTTTGGCCTCATCTCACTCTATAAGTTCCAGAATAGGTTTTGATTGCATTTGCATACTACATTCCCCCAGGACATAATAGGGTACCTTTTTAATTTGTTTTTATTTTAAAGAGATTAGGACAAAAGAGGACATAAAAAGCAGATCAGAACAGAACAATGTAAGCAACACATTATTTCACCACAATACAACCCATAATTAACAGTAGCTACCATAATGTCTCTTTCTTTGAAATAGCTGAGCAAAAGTTCATATACAATAGTATCAAACACAACAAAATAGTATAAAACCATTCAAGAGAATTAAAGTATTACAAGGCACTCAGAATCAAATAACAGAAAACAAACAATGGCTGCTATATTTTCTCATTGTCCACAAAAACTTCTTTATACTATCACACATAGTAATATCCAATAAGATACAACATGATAGAGCCAATGGAAACAGAAGAACAAAAGCATGGTAGGACTTCAAAGCAAGATAATATTAAACCAGCAATGGCTATGATAATGTCTTGTTTTCTTCAAAATAGCTTTTCATACCATCACAGATAATAAAATAAAATAAAACAGGATAAAATCATTCCAACTAATGAATGCAAACATTACTTCAGAACAATGTAATGGGGAATCATGATTACCATAAACTCTTATATACTCTTACCATTTATTACACTAGGGAGACAATCTGGTATTTTTACATGTAAGTTTGATTTATTTTACTTATGACTATTATCTCAAGTTGCATCCATTTATTTATCTCAATGTGATCTGGATCATATAATATGTATTTACAATGTGCTGATACAATTAGTATAAGAGCAGTTTTGCAAAACCCTAAAACACTATTACATAACTCTAATTTTTAAAATATTGGCAAAAGAAAAAACAAGATATTAAAAAATAACCACCACTTATTTAACAAATGAGGGTGAAAGTCAGTTAACATTTAAAAAATCATTCCGTAATAAATTAGAAAATATGGAGAAATAGCCACCTCATATGTTACCAGTGAGGGTATAAGTGATCTCAAAGAGAAATATATTAGAGGATAATTTGAAAACATTCATCAAAATTAAATTTTAGAAATCACTATGAATATAACTTAGCTAAGCTATTTGAGCTCTGATACAATTATCTTTGTATATATTGCATACAAATGCCTAAAATGGTCATAACTTTGAGCCTGCTGAGAATTAAAACAAAATTTCAAAAAATCATTTTTATATAGAATATTACACAATTCTCTAAAAGGCAGCGTTTGGTGTATTTATACGAAAGCTGTTGGCAGAATCTCAGAGTCAAAAGTAAATAATAATAAAAATATGAGATTACAAATAAGGTACCTTGAACAAATGTAGGAAAATTATTTGAAGTAGAGAACTTTAGTAGCAAATCCAATTATAACTGAGAAGATGGTGTTATATATTGACATTCAGAATTGCATTATATTACAAAAGAAAAATAATCCAGAGTTTTTTCCTTAGAAAACTTTAAGTAACCTAGTAAAACTGAATGCTTCTCTTAAGACACACAACTGGAATTTATTAGTTTACTACATTTTATATTCAGTGAGAATCAACTAAAGGTAATACAAGATTCATTTAAAAAAATAACAAATATTGTAAAAATATGCTTCTCTTCAAGAAATATTTTGGTAAATTTAAAGCAAAGATACTGTTCTATCAGTTATCCAGAGATCTTCACTATCTAGAACATAATACTGGAAGTCATAAAAAAATACAGAGGATAAACATAGTTCTTCAAAAGAGATAAAACAATTCAAATACAAATGAATTATCCACCTAAAATTCACAGTGGTCCTTGAAATCACACTTTACAGTACATTTATTTTTTAATTTTTCTACTTGACAGAAAACATTTTATATGTTGCTATTATATTTCTAAAATAAAATGATTATCCAGTGGGAGAAAAAAAAGCTGATAGAATTCAAGGATCCAATACTTCCTTCTTGTGTCAGTCTCATTATATAGAGTAAACAAATGGGTTACCCAGTGCCCAATTCAGAGTCTATGAATATGAAACCACTCACCAATGATCACATAGGTGTGTACCTCCCAGAGAAGTTATAACAAATTGTTTTATGTATAGTTTTCAATCACTGCATTTACATTCAGAGACAACTGAGACACAACAAAATCACATTGTATTATAAGATGCAAATGATAATAATTGCCATACCTGGCTTTGCTGAAAGTAAGTTCTGTTTCTCCTGGTCCCCACTGTTTCCAGTTCTCCACTGACTTAATGCCTCTTGAAAGGACTGGGCAGAAGTGCCTTCATCAAATGACCCTTCAAACAAGAGCCTGTCTTTTGGCTCTGTACATTCAGCTCTTTTTGTTGTTGTAATTTCTACCTAAACCAGTTATAAATGGATCTCATTTAACTTTATTAAATATTCTGTAAAAATGCAATGAAACTAATTATTAGTCATTATAAATTGGACATATTTTACCTTTGAACTCAATGGCTTTAAGGTGTATTTATTGATATAACTTATTGCTTTCTTTAAAACTCTATCTGTGATTATAATCAGTATCTTCAGAAATTATGAAAACACTAACATGCAGACAGATGACTTGTCATTGTGCTGTTAAGTATTGTTTTCCTTATGAAACTGCAATTGTCTGTATTCATTTTTCTCCTTCTCCAAACCCCTGTTCCCTACAACCTGCTCATATTTAAATAAGCAGTTTTCTTACATGTCAACATGGCATATCATTCTCCTACTCAAAACTGTCTGTTGACTATGAAATAATAGCATTCTACAATTATACAAGGACCTACATAGCCCCATATCACCTTATATTTGATGCTCTGTATTTCAGCACCTATTCTTCTCCCCTCCATTCACTCTGCTCCAGTTAAACTCATTCCTACAGTTCAAGGAATTCATCAAATATTTTTTAAAGGCCCTGCACTACTTATGCCTAATGCCTGAAATAATCTTCTCCATATCTTCACACAGTTGTTTTTTTTTCCTTTAATTAATTCACAAGAGAAATGGGTCCAAGAATCTTAATAATAACTCATAAGAAATGATGTCTCAAAACTGGGTTTTGAAACAAAGGGACAATAATATCACTAGCAAAAAGAGAGCATAAGGTTACAGTCATATTCCACAACAGGGGTATTGATATCTGTGCTGAGACATGGAATCAAATAGCATTGTGCATGAAATTGCAAGTAGTTTGTGTTGGCATACCAAAAAGTAGAGGATGACAAAACATAAAGGGTAGAAAGAAAAAGAGAGCCAAATCATGAAGGATTCTGGCCACCAGACAGAGAAACTTGGGTTTAAAACTGTTAAAACTATAAAGTAACTGACAAGTTTCACACAGCAGTGTGGGAGACAGACATTAGGGAATAGTAAGCTGGGATGCAAAGAAACTATGGAAAATGCCTCGACACTTGGTCATATTAATCAGCATTACAAATGCATAGACCTTCTTTAGGAGTTTCAGTATTTTATCATATACATATAATATTTTATTAAATATATATTAAACAAGTATATTTTATCAAATACATATAATTCTCATTTGTACTTTGTATTTTAGGTTGCACTTGGAAGAAACTTGAGAAGCATAAATGTTGATCAGTGGAAAATAGATTTTAAAAAGTCAGTTCTCATCAATATAAGGAGTGTTTTATAGGCACTGTATGGAATGAGAAGGCTGTACAATGTATTTATATGGATGTAAAATGTATATTTTCAAATATAAAAGGCATGTTTTCAGATAAATATGTCAACATTTTACAAAGAAATACATACATACAAAACTGGAAATGGTGACTGACTCTAGAAAGGAAACAAATTAAAAGTACTTTTCGCTATAACGACCTTTTGTTCCTTTTAGAAAAAATTAATTAATGTATTTGGAATGTCAGTAAGTACAGAATAAATGAACAAATATTCAAAGAAATATTTTAGGTGGTAGATTGCTTGGGACATAGTAACTATTATATATTAACCCAACCCAAAATTTGTATGTTGAATCTTTAAGCCCCTCAGTTTAATTTTATTTGGAGACAAGGCCTATCGAGAAATAATTAGGCTTAAATGAAGTCAACAGAGTGGGACTGTAATATAGAACTGGTATGTTCAGGAAAGGATTAAGAGAGAGAAGATCTCTCTGTCTTTCTGTCTCTTTATCTTTTCTCTATGTCTCTATGTCTCTGACCCTCACCACCGCCACCACCATGTTTAACCTTATATATGCCCAAAGAAAAGGGTATGTGACACAATAAGGTAGCATCTACAGGCTAAAAGAAAGGCTCACTAGAAACCAAGTTTGTTTGATCCTTAACCTGGAACTTCTTGGCTACTAAAAATAAATTTGTTGTTTAAGTAATGTGATTATTTTGCTTGTGGCAGCAAGTAGACTCATATTGGATGTGTGAATTGATGGGAAGTACAAAAAGGAACAAAAAGGTTTATGGAAAATATGTGCTTTGAAAACTACACAGGGTACCACCAACATTAATAGCTACAGATTTTGGAAGAGAGGGGCAGAACACAATCTAAAGATAGGGAGTTTTAGAAGAAATCGGGAAGATAGAGGCATCCAGTATGCAATCTGTCAGTGTATCTGGATAGTACGCTGCGGATTATAAAGAGGCACAGAAAACCTTATGCTTTGATAAAAAATGCTTTAAGTATATACTGATTTCAACAGCTCTCCAGAGCAACTCTTACAAAAATGAGTCAGAGATGAAATACTTTTATCATTGTAGGTATACTTTGAAATACCTGGTTTCTCCATGTCTGTGAGAGGGTAAAAGAAAAGCTTTTAAAACATTTCAGCTTAGACCTGCCATATGTCACTTGCACTCAGAGTCCATGACCCTGCCCAATTCCAAAGGGTAGAAAACTAGCAGAAATAACAGGCCACCTATGTTGCAATCATTACCAAACAAGTATGTCACATCATAGTAAAAGATGTCCCCAAGGGGCTCTGTTAAAGATGTCAGATAAACAACAGCAGGCTACAGAGGCTCACTGAGATAGTCAACTTAGATTCCAAAAGTAATACAGTGTGGGGAGTCCCAAACAGAGGGAGATGGAGCCTCCTGACCCAGGAACAAACTAAACTGAGAGAAACCAATTAAACATACAGTCCCGGTTCGAATAGTAATTTGAACAGCTAAAGGTTCAGTGCTCCCGCTGCAGCACTTGAACAGCTGAGATTTACCAACCTACCCAAAAGCCCACCACTTCAAATCACTGGAGATGCACTCACATTGAGGTTGGGGGTCAGTGAGCCAAACAGAGAGCTGAGCTGGCAGGGAACCTGTATCAACCTGTGATGAGTGATGGGAATAAAACCAATCCACAGAACTCCAACAGATGACATTCTGGGGCTGGGCAGACTGACGAGAACAAGGAGCAGTAGTGACTTCAGTCAACTGCTCCCTTCTCAAGTGGGATTAGTGGGGCATGCTTGGTCTGGGTCACTCCCCAGGCTGAGACCCAATAGTGTAGCCCACATCAAGTCCCTATGCCTGGCAGCACACCCTAATGCAATGAAGCCCTCAGCAGGTTGACTGACCTGGAGGGGAGGGCCCAGCATATGCTGCCCCTGTTTGTACCTCCATAGTAAATTGCAGTGGGCAGGAGCACCTATTCAGCACACTTTAGATGAACTGTAACCAACAAAGAAAGAAATTGGGGCTTCTTATATATACCTGTATGGATGGAACAAAAAATATGAGAAAAGGAAACAACAAGAAAGGGTCCCCAACCCCAAAGCCTGAAAACATTGATCCAGGAAAGGTAAATGAAAAAGATATTGAGGATGGAAAACATGCAATATCAGACACGGCACCAGTGGACATAAAGTGATATCTTTGTGACCTCATAGATGAGTTCAAAACTGAAATATTTAACCAAGTAAAGCAAGATTTAAATAGGTCAATAAAAGAAATGTTAAGCACCTCTCAAAAAGGCACAGATGAAAGAATGGAGGAAAACAGAAACAGGGGAGAATCATTTGATGAAGAATATAAAGAAAACATAGAATACATGAAGCAGGTTCAAAGAGATTACCAGGAAATTAAAAACTCCATTGAAATCCAGCAAAACTGCTTGAAAGAAACTAAGGATAGATTATCCAAACTGGAGTACAGGTTTGCAATGTGGGATCATGAAAGGAAACAGTTCTTAAAAATAACAAGAAAACAAGCAGTAACAATACAAAGGCTAAAAGATGACAAGAGGATCTATAAATTAAGAATAAAGAATGTGAATCAAGAAGCAGGGTTACAAACAAAGTAACGACAAAGGCTATTCACAGAAATAATTAAAGAAAACTTCCCACACATAGGAAAAGGAAATAGTATTCAGATGTATGAGGCATACAGAACTCCAGCCACCTACAACCAAAACAGAACTACACTCAGGCATATAATAATCAAGATCCCAGAAATCTAATATAAGAACAGAATATTAAAAGCTGTCAGAGGCAAGAAACTGATTACTTACAAGAGAAAGCCCATCAGAATTATGGCAGACTTCTCAGCACAAACCATCAAATCGAGAAGAGCATGGAGTGAAGTATTCCAAGCCCTGAAAGAAAATAACCTCCAGCCCAGATTGACGTACCCTGAAAAACTGTCTCTAGAAATTAATGGAGAGACAAGATGCTTCCAAGATAAAGAGGAACCAGGGGGATTTGCAACCACCAATACAATTCTACAGAGAATACTGCATGACATTCTAAAGAGAGAGAAAAGTACCAGTATTTTAGGAACAGTGGCAGAGAGGCCTCAATGAATGGACCAGAAAGTGAAATACAGACAACTAATGATGGAAAAAGAGCACAACAGAAATGAGGCAGAGAAGGCTGGATATAATTTCTAATATAGAGGCCTAGATACACTAACTTAAGGAAAAAAAGAGAGAATCACAGGTAGAGTGGATCAAAGGTAGGGTGCGCTGAGATGCTCACTATAGGAAATATAATTAACCTGAAGAAGGGTATATGGGCCAAAAATCAAATATGAGAAAACAGTACTCTCCATAATAGGGAACCAGAAAGTAATAGGGACAACTGGACCAGTATTTATGGATAGGTTGGAAAGATAGGTTTTAATAGGTAAAGGAATATAATTAGAGATCAAGTCCAGGAGTGAGAAGGTTGGAACCACTTAGGTAAATAGCCAGTTGCCCCTCCCCACTATAAAACTGAAGGTGTTGGGGAGACCCAAAAATGCACAGTATACCCTGGGGGAGTTAAAGGGGAGGAACAGTCTTAAAAAAGACAGCATAAGATATTGTTAATAGTGTATCAGGAATTAAAACCCATATTACTTGTACCACTCTGCTTAGATAGAACTTAATCCATCCCAGTTTGT